GAGGAATGTGGGTGTATCTCTGCTGGGAAAGTGAAAATTAAAGACGAGTACATTGGGTTCAGCAAAGCTCAAGGTCTCTTTTCAAACCACAAGTCATGCGTGTATGAGCTAACCCAGAATGATGCCATTTGTCTCTCTCTCTCTGCGAATGACACCCAGTCAGCCTGGTCTTGAGTTGGCTCTGCAGCTTGGAAAGCTACTGTAGGTGGCAGAGGAGAAGGACCGAGTCTTGGATGCGCTGGGGAGGCCAGTGTGCTCCTTTAGGATTTACAAAGCCATCTGGATGACACTGGGCTGTGTTCCCAGTGGGAACGGTGAGAGGCAAGACAGCCTTGATACCAAGCCTGTCTCTGTAATTCACTGGCCCTACATATTCCCCAGAATATATCTTATTTATCATACCTGGCTCATTTCCTAGGACTGAGTCCAAAACTGCTTCTGATCTTGACTGCTGGAGTATGAGTGTAAATACAGTGTGCTGTACGCCCTCCAAGAGCAGTCCCCAGCGAGTCCACTGTGGTTATCCCAGACAACAGCCTGATATTAAGATTCCCCATTATCAATGGTTTGGCTTTTAGAAAGCTGTCTACATAAACAAAGCCTATTTAGCTTGTGATTGTGCCCTGGAGAGGGTCCTACAATCACTTTCATTTCCCCTTTTGCCTTCAAAGGGAAGAGTCTGTCCTAGGAATGAGCAGAGACCGAGAGCCACGGCTTGGATCCGCTCCCAGCTGAGTTATTGCATTGCTGTGTGGCCCTGGCCATGGTGGGGTGGTTTTGTTTTTGACTTCATTCAACTAAATAATGAATATTCTGTCTGGAAGTGGTTGAGAGAGACTCTTGTCCCTGCAGAAAGCTGCTCCAGAACAACTCTTTAAGTGTTAATGCAAGGGAAATGAAAATGTAATTGAGAACAAAACAGAAAAAACCCTGAAGTGCTTAAGAAAAGGTTGTACGTGATTTTGGGATCTTTGCTTATTGATAAAGGGCACTGATACTTTTACGTAACCATCCATAAGATAAATTATGCTTCTTTTTGTTCTGTGAAAATTACATTTGCTCAGCACCTTCCATGCAAATTGTTGCTTCCAAGCTGTGCAAAGATTTAAGTGAAAAAACATCCTGGTAGAAAAGTTTTCTTTCTTCTTAAGTAGATCAGTCTCTCCCATTGCTTTAGAGTACATAGGTGATATCTTAAAATGTTTGTATCCTTTGTAACACTAAAGGCTTTTTCTCTGAATGAAGAGCATCCTCTGCCCTGCCAGGTCCATGTCCCGGAGTCCATTCGTTTGCTGTTTTGACCGGCAGCAGCAGCTCTCTGAGGCACCTTCACTCTTTCAGCAGAGACGAGCTTCTGGCCAGAGTGTCGTCAGATTCTCTCAGGTGAGTGGACATGTGCCAAATGAGCACTTTTCCCTGGGCCATAACTATACACAAGGACCCATTTTGTGGCAAGAGGCTTTGGCAGATTTTCCCCTCATTAGCAGTGAATTTGCTCTTTCCCTTTAGTCAGATTTGTTTAATCTTCTTAATATTGCTTTTGTAATGGGCTGAGCAACGTAATGGACATCCATGGAGAATATGCTGTCTCACATGTGCCCCCTCCATTTCCAAACCTGGGATGTGATGCTGCCCACCTCCCAGTGAGCGGTCTGCTTTGCCTCCCCAGTCTTCACACCAGTGTCTCTTCAGGAAACCCTAGTTACTTGTACAGTCCATTTATTCCTCTCCTAAGGCAAAAGGGAGATTTTGGAGCTGTAAGCTTGTTTGTAGGGCTCCCACAGAGAAAGGAGATTTCCTGCTTCATGTCTTCTTCGGATCACATGCAGTTATCATCTCCAGGCAGTGCCACTTTCCCTCATCAGCTCTTAACACTCATGTTTTCCAACACCTGAAGTCACAGAAAGCTTTCTGCATGACAGACCTGCCAACCTGGATGCTGTTGTTGGCTTTAAGCTGCTCTGAAATGAGTGAAGTAGAACTCAGAGTCTGGAGACAGCCCCTGATGCTTGGGCATACCCTGTTCTGTAAAGACAATGTGCAGCCTCCCAGGTGCAGATTTCAAAGCGGAGAACATCACTGTTCATCTTTTGACTTAGGGCTTGTTTGCATGGGAAAATTAACCTGAACTAACTGAAGGCTGGAGTTTGAAGTGGATTCATTCAGCTGCATTTGCTTCTATGTGGACAGAATAACGGAGACCTTTCCTTGGTTTGTTGTGATTTGTTGCCAAAATGCATTAAGATAAACCAAATTAAGTCTATTTGTGTTCCAGAGAAATCTTTGATATATGCTCGTTCATTTTAAGAGTTCTTAGATTAATTTTGGAGAAAATGGCCCTGTGTAGACACATCAACATTCCTAATAATATTTGGCTGAAATGCAGGATAATAGCCAAGTCCAGGCTCAAATAAAAGGGATGAATCATCTCTAAATCACACGTTATGATGTAATAGGATAAATGACGTTTTGCTGGAGAGAAGCTGCCATGCACAGAGCAGGGTCATTGCAGCCTGTGAAGCGAGAGCAGAGCAAGTCTGGGAGTCATCCCCTGTACATCTATGGAGGGTAATGCACCTGGTTTCCACAGCATGCATAGCCACAGCTCTTCCAACCATGCTGGGGGTGCTCCCCTGCAAATGCAACAGTGGCAGCATTTGATTCATTAGGATTTGTCTCTTGGGACTCCAAGAATGAGCACAGGATTGAATCAGGCCTGACCCAGGGACATGTGAGGGCATCCTGTCATCCACTGGACTCTAAGGTGTCCAGGTCCTGCTGCTGGGCTGCAGTCTGTGTCCTGCATCACAGTTTTCGCATACACACATGCACAGAGCTCTAGGGACTGTGAGCACTCCATGGAAGCCAAAATGTTGCTTCGTATTTGCATTAGGATATCCCAGAATAGGAGGTGATTCCCTCTGCTAGCAAAAAAATTAAAGACCAGAATGCCTACCCATTACTTAAACACACAGAGGCCCATTTTCACAGCCTTCATCTCCGTGCCCCTGGAAAAACCATTCCTTGGAAATTACAGTAATTGTTTTATTCTCTTTGATCTCCACTAATAAAGCTCTGGACTATCACTCGGCAGGAGCTGTTTCTCTTAGTTAGGATCTTTCCAACAGTACTTACATTAGGAAGGCTCTGGGGAAATTTCAGTAAATGCACTTGAGAAGAGCTCTGCAAAACTGCTTAGACTTTACTGCAAAAATATTTCCCCACATTTGCTCAGAACACTTCTCGGCTTGTTTGTTTTTCTTTTTATTGCAGTTGTTGGACTGAGGGGATACCTGGAGAACAGAGTTGGGACTCCTTGTCGAAAGATCTTAGAGCAGCTGGAGAACAGAGCAAAAGGTTTCTGAATCCCAGACAAGCCACTGTAGAAAGCACGCTTGAGAATAAGTGTCTTGCTGTTAACATTTTACTTTCCAAATAAAATCTAAGGAAGAAGGAGGTCCAGCATGGACCCCTTCATGTCTGAAGTGCAGCATCTTGGGTCTCCAGCCCCTTGGACAGCAAGTGGCTTGTTTAGGGATTTGGGAAGTTGTTAGATTTAGTTTTTAGTCCTCAGGCTTTAAACACCACAGCCAGAGCTGAAGCTTGGCTCAGCAGGTCAGTCCAGCAAGCCAAATATCAGCCCATGTCCAGCACACACAGGAGTAACCATCATGTTGTGCATGGACATGTTCTCATGTATGGCTCTTAGTGAGCCTACAACACAGCTCAGCTGCAGACAACTTCTGTTGAGCTGATAAATATATAAGTGGTTGTAAGAAGGTGCAAAGAGAAAGTCAAATTTCAGAGCCACTGGGCACAGATGGAAGAAACCTGACCCTTTGAAAGCATTTCTGCATTTCAGACAAAGCAACCAGTGAGTTCCCTAACCTGTGCCATCTTTTAGCCACTTGCTATTGTAAGATGAAGGTGGCAGTGGCCTTCACACCAACTCGGAAGAGTACAGAGCACATCCATGTATCTGCCTGTTGCATAACTGGCAATTGAAAGCAAGAGTAACTGCACCAGCTGGTCTCTTTTCTTCCTTTTTTCCCCTCCAGCTAGAAACTGTAAAAGCTCAAAAGACCAACTGCACAGCCTTAAAGTCGTATTTACTGTCTGGCACCCTGCCACAGGCGATGGGAATACTGTTGTATAGATGTTGCTGTCTGACTGCTGCTTTATACTTAATGATCTCATGGATGTGCAGAGGGAAGGAATATAATCCCCAGTGAAGACAGGGGGCAGGGTTGGTAAGGAATAAAAAGCCTCTTCCTCTAAACTGGCTTTGATCTTTCTAGGGGCTGCAAATGAAGAACAGTAATTAAAGCTTAACTGGAAGAGATCAGAAAGCTTTTAAAATTAATAAAACTCATAAGAGGCATCAAGGATGATCATATGTAAAGACTCTTCAGGCTGCAGTGTCAGTCAGCACCCACAGCGAGTGTCTGCTCTCTCTGCGTAGGTGTGCTGGGGTCCACATGGGAGCAGGAGCTGTGTTCACAGCTGTGTTGTGGATGACACCTTCCTCATCTCCTGCTGGGTTTTCCCTGCTGTGTGGTCCAGTTCTTTGGACCACACCAGGATTATTCCGTATTTACTCTGCTTTGCCAGTCTTACCTACAGGGATGCCATCAGGTATTGCACAGGAGCTTTAATCCTAGCTCAGTCCTTCACTTGGAGCTTGCATTTTATTTTCCATGACTCAGTTATTTAATGATGAGACCATCAGCCCTTGACATGCCACCAGAAGCTGATGCTTCATGTAAGGAACCTCAAGCTGTATCACCCTTGCCTGTTCTTTAAAAGGCAAGGACACCCTGTGTATTATTTGTAAAGATAATAGCTTAACTGTTCAGTGTGGCATTTTAATTTAGCTGTTGTCCTTTTATACATCCTTTTTAGATCAGGAAAGAGGCAGACAGACTGGCCACTACCTCGGAGACTTTGAAAGCAGTCATTTTACAGCAGTATTGCTCCATGATGGTTATATTTTCCCATAGGAAATAAACGTTTTTGGCCTGGTCCTGAGGAGAATGCAATGCTCACCCCAGAACTGCTGCTGCAGGAGCACCATCTCAGAGGAGGACACAGAGACCATCACAGCTACAAGCATCTGACAGGTCTGTGCCAAATGTCTGTGTTGTACGTGTTCTTTATCCTACTGTTTGAAGGATTGTGAAACACAGAAATGGCTGATGTGTGCGGGCACCAAGAGTATATCTCCTGAAGGGAGTGAGCAGAAGGTTCACTGTGGGCATCATAGAACTTGCCCAGGAGGAAGACATCTTCCTGCAATGCTCCAATGTCTGCTTAGGGCACTGCCATGTGTGGAGCAAAGTTCTAGGTTGGCATTTCTTTCCAGTTCAAAGAAGTCTTAGACAGAATTAGTGCACTTTTTCTCACCTCTGGATGTGACCTTTGGGAGAGTGGAGAGAGGGAGATGTTCCATCTCTTCCCTTTTAACCACCTGGATGCCAATAAGGGCTTAAATTCCTGGGTAAAGTGATGTGCAAGGAAAAGATAGAGAGCAGCCACTGTCTCTGGCTGTGCTCCATCAAGAGAGGAGGATGGGGAAGGAGAGGATGTTTCAATCCTTGACTTCCATTTATTCCAGCACTAAAAGAAAATGAATTTTTAAATCCTGATGCTGAAGCACCTATTAAAAAGAGCGCTAACCTATGGCAGGAGAGTGTCTGGGAGGGAGGGCTTTTTGGCTTAACCCAGCTGATTTTTTTAAACTTATTTTTTACAGCAAATGAACTCTCACTGCCTTTCTTTAAAGGTCACCTCTTTTTTTTATAACTACTATGCTGGGAAAATGCTTTTAAGTTTCATCTACTTTGTGTGTGTGCATTTTCTAAGCCCTAGGTTTGTTTCTTATTGGAAAATGGTCTTGGATCGTCTCTGAGATGGAAATTTTATTTTATTTATCAGGTACATGAGAGAAAGAAGGGAGGTTTTTAACTCTTTAGGCTCTTTTTTACTGGATGCTCAGCTCCATGTCTCAAACCATGAACCACATCCTACCTGCTGCACTTTTTCTTCCCCTTTTGCTCTGCCGGCATCTCTTCAGAGGCCCTGAAGCTCCTGTCTCCTGGCTCATCTCCTTGTGGTTCTGCCTTTATGCGCAGAAGGGGTTAAATGGGTTCTCTCAATTCTTAGCTTGATTGCTAGGGAGCTGTTATTTTATCCTCTTGGCACTGGCACTGGCACCAGCTCCAGAAGGAGAGGCTGTTTTTCTTGCAGCACCCTCCATGGTTGGTGAGGTGTGGAGTTATCCAGGAGACACAGGCATTTTCACATCCTGTGCTCCTGACTATCATCAGTCCATAGCCTGTGGATGTTCACAGGCAAAGTAAAGCTTTCAAAACATTTATAACAAACCCAAAATGTTATTACATCCTTCTACACCTCAGTATCTCTCTTTAGCAAAAGCTCTGTGCTGATAAATAAGACCAAGAGGGGAACCATCACATAGGGATGTACCAACTCAGTTTGCAACCTTAAATCCTCATTAGGGATTAGCTCTCTGGCCAAAACCTGTTGCCTGAGGATTACTAATAGATTTTCAAAGAGTGCCAAAGTGAGCTCATGGTATCCAGACTTTGTCCATACTCAGCCAGACCCTAAAGCACTAATTCTCATGAGTTTTAGGTGGCTTGGGAAGAAGCACAGCAGGACAAAACCCCACGTTATGTACATCAGTTATTACCCTTCCTTCCAGGAGACCACCAGTTGCTCCAAACCCATTTGCTTCATGCCCCAAACCATTTGCTTTGCCAGGGCTCATGGCTAGACTAAGCACTGCTCCTCTCTGTTGCTCCTGATGTTCCTCATGCTCTTGTACCCAGTTCCCTTACAAAAAGCTGTAACAAGTGGTTTCTTGAACATATTAGACAGATCCTATTTTTATTGATTACAAAGCAGCACCAGCTCAAAATGACATTCCCATGACACTCCATATGCAAGGATGTCACAGAACTCTTTTATATTTATCAAACTTCCATCTTCAAACTAGTTAGATTTTCGCTTCATTAATCACATTAAAAGGCTGTTCCTGAACCTCATGCCTCTGGTGGTTAGAATTACACTTCTGATTTCCATCTTAATCTATTCATAGCCACTTGATTCATGTTGCCACATAGTAATATTAGAAATATAATGATATTTAACAATCTGTCTAGTCTGAGGACAGAGAAACATGTCAATAGTCCCTACTTTTATTGTTAACTAAGCATAGGATGGTGTATCTTACTAATAGGAATATGCATTTCAAGAGCAGATGAGCAGCCAGTATAGACATTAATTTACTGAAATCAGAACACTTCTCAGTCAGAAAGGTCAGGTACAATGGAAACAGAAACTGCTGCAGTTAAACCCTGCTCTTGCAAAGGGTCTGGCTTTCCTGTGCAGGCTCAGCTCCCTCTGCTAGCTGGTGAGTGCTCATGCTCTGGACCATGTCCTAGCTGAGCCAACCCTCCTGCCATCTCTTTAGGGCACTCACGTCTCCAAGGCACTAAATTTCCATCCTATCACTATTCTCCATAGCATAAGTAGAAATCAGAAAACCACTGGCTTCATCCAGAGGTATGTGGACTTTTATCTGCTGAGTGGTTTGCCCTTGAGAGGCCAGAAGTTGCCATAGGTGAGGCTTCTCTATTCATAAGCTTATAAGACTAGATCAGCTCTTATGCTCTGGATTATACAGCAGTAAAATCCATCTTCCTTGAAGAATAAAGTTAAAGCCAAATTCCAGATGCACAGAAACTCCTTCTGTTGTCTCCAGGGGATACTGTCCGTCCCAGCAACTTGAAAGCTCCAGACAACTTCTTAAACCAGGGTTGGATCTGGCACAGCTCATGGTGCTGGAGCAAGCTAAAAGCTGGTGTTGGCCAGCAAGAGCTGGTGATGGCCAGGCACCAGTTCGTCTGGATGTGGAAGAAAACAACACTGCATCCATGTTCCCTTTGTTGTGATGATGTACCAGCAAAGACCTCCTCTGTGCATGGTTTCTGAGGCGTATGATCTTCACAGAGAAATGCTGGCCCTTTGCCCTGCTGGCAGTAACCATCTCTGCTGCTTGGCCACATCTCCTTGCAGAGCTGAGTGAGGCAGCTCAGCTGCAGCTTGGGACATGCATATGCTCGTGGGCCATTTCAGAGGCCTGGGAGCACACAGAGGCTGAAGGTAGCTGCTGTGCTGCATGGCCATGCTGCAGGTTGCAGAGGCTTAGGAAACCCATTTTGCTACCAAGGATTGCCTTAGCACTATCACTGGTAATTAAAACCTTTCCTGCTTTGTGCCCTGCCTGGCCAGCTGGCTTCCCACCTGCCCAGTGTTCCGTTGACATGTTTGTCATGGTCATGGGCTCTCCACCTCCCTTTTGGCTTGTCATCCTTGCACGGGAGTAAGCAAGGAATGGCTGCCAGGGCCAAGAGTGCAGCCAGCACCCAGGCAGGCACTGAGAAGTGTTTGAGGCCAGGTTGGACAGAGCTTGGAGCAACCTGGTCTGGTGGAGTGTGTCCCTGCCTGTGGCAGAAGGTTGGAACTGGATGAGCTTTAAGGTCTCTTCCAACCCAAACCGTTCTGTGATTCTGTGACTGCTACCCACCTCCCTACAGGCCCCTGGGTGGGAGCACTGCCTCCCAGGGTGTCACACACAGCCATGAGCTTACCTCCGTTGCTGGCAATACCATCATCAGCTGTCCTGCAGGCATGAGTCTTAAAGCTGGCACTCTACTGCTGGAGAGGCTGGAGCATCTCTCACACACTCCATTTTTCCCCTTGGCACGTGAGCACATCTATAATGTGGCAGATGCTTCTTTTTCATTTGGTAACAAGAGACATCAAAAGATGTATACTGATTTATTGCCTACAGAACTGCACTCTGTAATATGTCTATAAGATCCCACTGAATCTGCAAAGTCAATAGCTCCATCCCTTTGCAATGAGCAAATGGAGAAGGCTGTGAATTAATAACTTCCCTGACCTCCAGCTTCTGCGAGGCCAAACAGCTGATGGAGGAGTTAATCCAATAATCCATTTTGGCATCTGGAAGGTAGCACGCTCCCTGCCAGATCCTGGACCTACAAACAAAGTGAAGGAAAAGCAAACACATCTTAGGGCTGGGGAGGGGAAACAGGGAGGCGAAGGAAGGATCTCATCCTGACAAAGGCAGTGGCTGCACTGTACCTTCATCTTGCAGAAGAGGTTTGGGGCTTTATTTGTTCCACCAGGTTGAGCTGGACTTTGAGCACTTACTGCTGGGCTTTTTTGCATTGCTCAGTGCTCAGGGGAATCAAAAGCTTCTTCCAGTGACCTCAGCCTGAATTGCTTCTCTCCTCCACAGAGAAGTCCCTGACCTTTTCCTGCCAGCTCAGCCAAGGGCATTGCGAAGCTCCTGCCTGTCCTGGGACCTCTGAGTGCTTCAGCAGCCGTAACTGCTACTGATCTGGGAATTCTGCTTTCATATGCTATTACCAGTCACTTTATTACTTTACCAGACTTTAACTAATCAGCTTGAAATTTCCTCTGTAACATTTAAATTAAAAAGAAGGGGAAAAAAAAAAAGAAAAGGAATGAAACTGGCTAAAATATTCCAGCTGCTCAAAAAAGAGGTATTAAAAACCACATTATATTCCTCATCTTAAAAGCAAGGCAATGGTTTGCCTTGCTGTGAACATCAGTAGTCCAGCTTTCAAATCCCAGTGTGAGGCTCAGAGTGGGTCAGGGATTTGCTGTTCTCCCCCTGTGGAATTTGCCTGTGGTGGGACAGAGCTGCTCCAGACAGCTCTGCACCAGCTCTGCACTGGGCTGGAGCACTCCCCACAGGCACCAGTTGATTTTGCACTTTCAGGTTGAACCCTTGAGGCAAGCCATTGTTGGGACATGAACAGACACCACTCCCACTGAATGTTGAGCATTTGGAGGGGGGAAAACCACCTTTTGGGGTGACTTCCAGTGGCATGCTTGGAAAACTGCTATCACCTCTTCATAAAGCCATCTGCTGAGCATGCACAAACGTGAGCTGGTGAATTCAATAGCATAGAGTTTATTAAAAAAACAGTCAGGATACAGAGTTGGACAGAAGCTGTTGACAGTGTGCTTGGACTTGTGGTAGCAGACAGAGCCCAGGTGCTTTAAGAAAGAGCCACTGCATGTGCTGGGCATCAACTTGTATTATTTTCCTTTTGGATTACAGGACTCTTTAATTAAGGGGCCTGTCTTTATAATCCAATCAATCTTGATAAATAACAGCTCTCTTTTGCAGATAAAGTTGTAGGCTTATCGCTGCCCAGCAGCCATATTTTAAAGCCCATCCATAAAATTACACAGCAAATCAGCTTACGTAGCATCTGGTGGTCACAGCTGCGTGCAGGCAGGGCTCTGCACTTGTGCTGACAGCGGCATTTCAGTGACACTGTGCCATCCTGAGCATCAGTCCTACTCAGCTCTTCTCCTGTTACCACCATAACTAATTTACTGCTTCTTCAGCAGCATTATACTCTCTACTTCTCATCCCATTCATCCCACGAAACCTCTAGCTCGGAGTTCCTGTAATTATAAGGGGGAGGTTACAGTGCTGGAGGATGAAATGTAATGCAATTCATTAGTAGACTGTTTTACCCATTCTTCACCTTTCCCTGCCAAGTAGCTTTGTTCTAAGAAGGGTATCAAACAACCATTTAATTGTGATTTAATTGAACAGTTACTTGTGCCACACAGACATCAAGGAATGGTTACGGGAATGCTTTTCAGGAATCAGTAGAAAATGCTGCATGCTGGATTAGCATCCGTATCTGTAAGGGATGAATCGTGCCAGTCCTACCTTTAATGCCTGGTTGTTTGCATGAGCCTTGCTGCACTCAGCATCCCTCCAGTGTATGGAAAAGCGTAGAGCCCACTGTAAAAGCAGCACAGGGGGATGCAACACTCTTTCGTTGGGCTGGTTGGGATTAGTGGGTGCAGAGGAGACCTCAGGGTGAGAGCCACAGTGTTGAGAGGGGCTCTGAAACAGTTTACCCAACATAATACAAAGAGTTTAGAACTGATCCCAGACCTTGTTTCCACTCTGGTATATGAGCAAGCCTTGCAAAACGGCATTTTCTCAGACAGCTTTGTACTGAATTTGGCAGAGATGAAAGCAAAGGCAAGCCTTGGTAGGCAGCAAGTCTCAAACACGGCAAGGCAGAGTATGAAACTCCAGAGGGTATCCACAGAGCTGAGACCAAAAGGTTGTGCAGACCTATCTAAGCTAAACTTGTCCCCAGATAGCATCACTGTCTCATTTCCTGGAATATATTACCTCGACAGAGCTGACAAAAATAAACAGAGGAAAAAAGACCATTCTGCAATGCAATCAAACCTCAATTGCCCATTTGTTTTTGTCCTTTAAAAGAGCTAATAACGTTGTAATTAGTGGAGATATCTCCAGGGCTCCATAAGTGAAAGCGAGAAAGAGATTTTCTCACCATGAACTAGAGGCATATTTTTCAGAAGAAGAGGGATGTATTACCCAAATGAAAGGAATCCATATAGATTTCTACCTGATGTCCAAACCAGTGACACCTTGTTCCTTTGAGTGCTGGCTTTTAGTGGCTCAGAGATTTTGGTGCGATTGTGGTAGAAAAGCATCCCTGGAATTCGCTTCTTGGCAAGGAAGGATTCAAATTCACTGGAGTGTATTGAGGGTCAAAAATACATAGAGAAAAGTTCTCCATTATGGCTATTCTTGCTTACCTGATACCTAGCTTTGCTCCATGACACACTGACATGGCAAGCACTGCTTTTATGTCCTGAACTGGTTAAGCGAAGAGCCAACAAAGTGGAGAACATTCAATTAAAGCACATTTTGTCTTAAAATAACATCCCTGAGCTTCCTTGTCTCCCTACTCCTGTCATCAAATTTGCATTCAAATTCACCTGGTTTAATACGCAGCCATGGTCACCCAAAAGGCACACACAATTTTGGGCCACAAACAGCAAAATTGCTTTCATCTTTCACAAAATGCCCAAAGCAGGCTCTGATTATTCTGTTCATTTTCAGATACCTGTTCAAGGCCAGGTTGGATGGGGCTTGGGGCAGCCTGCTCCAGTGGAAGGTGTCCCTGCCCGTGGCAGGGGGTTGGAACTGGCTGAGTTTTAAGGGCCTTTCCAACCCAAACCAGTCTGGGATTCTCTGATTTACCGAGCCTTATTTTGTTTGTCACATCTCTAGCTGGGGTCCAGAAGATACAGAAACACCCTGAAAACAGGTCCTAAAGTATTGTTTGGAGTCTGACTTGGTGCTTCTTTTGCCTCTTCCAGACTGAAGGACTCCAAAGGGGATAGACAACATGCTGTAGATGCACGGGCAGTGATCTGAGAGTCAAAGGTAGGTGCCCAAAACCCAGCAATGTCTCTGAGTCTTAAAAGCATTTCATAAAATCACAGCCTAAAACTGAGGAGTGCTTGAATAATCCACCACCACCAGATGTGTCTGTAAAGCCTTTCTGGAGCTTACTTTGCCTGGTTGTGGGTGTCCTTGCGGGCAGCGTTGTATCGGCTCCTTGGGAGCACCCCTGGGCTCGCGCTGCTGGGTGCTGGTGTCCATAGCACCCATGTCCACGCTGCAGAGTCAAAGAGCATGCTCTGCTCTTTCAAGGAGAAAAGTGGGAATGCAAAGGGCCAACTCCCCAGGCTCTGCCTGAGCCCTCCTCCGCTTCATAGCCTTGCAGTGCCAGGAAGACCCCAAGGTACATGGGAAGCAAAACCTTGTAGTCCTCCATTATCTTGCACATTATTTAGAGCCTGACCTATTCTTCTTTTATACTTTGCAAAGTAGTTCTGGTTTCTTCAGGATCCAGGAGTTATAGAACAGTAAATGATCATTTTATTGAAGTGATTGGCTTCATCCTAAAGCTGGTTCTTAAAGAACAGACTTTAAAGGTTAAACTGTGTGCCAGGGTAATATGCACATCACATTCCCGGGTGCCTTTTGTGTTTAAAAATCAACAGTTTCCATCTGTGAAAAGAGGAATTTAGACATGCTGATACTCTGACATTTAAATGTGAGCAGTGGAAGATAAACACAGTCTGACATAAAGTAAATGGGGTGATACTAGGAAAAGTTAAATTTCAGATATTCATGCTCCTGCCTTTACCTGCTGGGGTCCTGTGCACCAGAAGGAGCATTTACCACACATTAACACTGTCATGTCTCTGTGTTTGTTATAGCAGGTCAGCACAACACGCCCATGAATGGGATCTCTTCAAAGCTAAGCGCCAGTGTTGGCTGTAAACTTGTTCAAAACCTTTTCTGGCTAGTGCTGAGTCTCACATCCCTACTTTGCAGCTAGCAAAGCTGGGCTCAGAAGGGTTTTAGGGTGCAGGTCTCTGCCACAATGTCAGATGCAAATAATTTTACAGCAGTTGTGGATGTGTGAAGAGTGAGAAAAGCAACTTTTAGCATGAAGCCTCCCTGCTGCAGCCTGTGCCTGTACCTGCAACCCAAGCAGGTCTCTGTCTAGACAGCCACCCGCTGTGCCATTCCGCAGCCACATGAAAGCACAGGTCTGAGTGGTGGTGAATAAATACCTTAGTGGGCTGGCTGCGATGGGCTGTGGGAATAAGTAAGGTCTGTAGCGACATGTAGTATCTTTTCTCCTTAAAAGGAGGAGATTCCTTCACTAGCTGTAGCAATTTCTGTAGTAAATAGTATTATTACAAGTGAAATGAAAGCACAAAAAGATGTAAAATGTGCTAAAAATGGTAAGCTAGTGAAAGCAAACAGTGGTAAGGGGATAGCTAGATATAACATCCCTTTGGAGCAGTCCCAGTCTGGTCTGATTTTGCTGTTGGCACCGTCTTGTACCCAGGTGACCTTGAACTAACCCAGGAAAATTTGCATTTATGAATAGTTTTTAAATCTCTGGCCCCTTCAGTAATGTGATCCAACCCAACTGTGTGTGATGGAACGGCTCTTTGGGATCTTGTCTGCCTCTTTCTCTCTTGGAAGCCCCAGGGGTGTGTAGGCAGGTTAAATAATGCAAGAGCAGCTGTAATTATGCTGAGCAGTTTCTCTGGAAACATTTGAAAAATATTAGCACATCATTCTTTTTTTTTTGTTCTTTTTTTCCCCCTTTTTTTCCCCTGGCCTCTGTTGTAAGGGGTCTAGAACAAATCTAATGGCTTAATGAGATCTATGACAACATACGACATGAAAGAGATTTTTAGTGACTTCCATTACCCAAACTCAATTAGAGGAGAGTAATCAGCAAGTCCCCCTGTTGTGAGAAGTGCAGAATGAAACCTTGGTGAGATGGGAGAGATGCAAAAAAGAGAGACTCATTGCAAAGCAAGCACAGATACTTACTGTACCCCTCAAAGCACCCGATGAATGCTGAACATATAGATTACAACATTAGCCACCTCTCTCTGCTGTTTCCTTGCTCTAAAATGGGTAATTAAACATAAATAGTCTCTTAATCTATGCTTTAAAAAACCCATTAATTTAATGTTAGATAAAGCCCTTTGTTTCCTTGTTTCTTGGGAGGGGGAGGAAAGGAAATCTCTGAAATCTAGGTCTGCTGTGGCTGGTTCACACACATAGCACTGGTCCCAGGCTTAGTGCTTGGAAGGGAGGCAGGATGTCAGGTTGTTACATACTCCTCCATTTCTGATTTGCCAGTGTTACCCACTGCAAGCTGCTGAAACCAAAATACATGATTATTTATCCAGCTGAAGCCCAGAGCATGCATGTTGCAGCAGGTGAGGGCACAGAAAATCCTCCCCACAGATCTGCAGAAAGTGGTGTCACAAGAGTTTCTATGGCAGGTCTGGGAACAAACAGCTCAAGAGAGCGAGCTTTAACCCACCTCTGTCCCTCTTCCTCCTCTGCTCTTGTGTCTCTAGTGCCTATTTGTGTAACACGCACTGAATAGTAACAGGTAGGCAAACCATGTGTCTAAAGCTCAGGTGATCTCTTAAGACAACTATTTCCAGCAATTCTGGGGCTCCACTGGCTGGCCAGTTTTGCCCACCACTTCTCCAGTGTCTCGTCACAAAGGGCTTCTCACACCAAATAACCTGCAAGGGGCTTTCAGGAGCTGGTTTCCACCCTCTTTCCTCTCCTCTCCCCCTGGGCTGTACCCAGCCTGCAGGATGATGCTCTCCTAGCCTGTATCACTTTTAACTCTTCTCTGTTAGGCAAGGCAGGGATGGAGGCTCTGTGTCCCCCTCTTTCCAGTCCATCCCCACTGGTGTGGGTGAGCTGCCTGCCGGCTCCTGTGCTCCAGTTTCATCTCTGCTCTCACAGATGTACAGCAGCCTCTTGGACAGTACACGTCTCACCACTGCTTGCTTTGGCTGTGTGGTGGCTGGAGCTGTGCCTGCTCAGCTGCATGCTGGCCTCACATCCACAGCTCTGGTGGAGCAGGCAGCCTGCCTGGCCTGGCCTGTTTTAGCTATTGTTAACTTGTGTCCTCTCCATCTTTCCTCTGCTGGATTTTAGCAGACAACCCCCTCTGGAGAAGCAGCCAGCACTTGGCTTTCGTGCCCATCAATCCTTCTAGCAGGTTTCTCTCTTGTCTTGTGCTGTGATCCCACAATACAAGAAGGATTCCCATTTGTTCCCTGTCTTTACATCTGACTCAGATGTCTCAGTTCCTTGTGAGCACCTGGGGAAGGCATCAAACCCACACCTCCTCCAGACCCATTTCAAAGCTGTTGTCTGCTATGGAACACGATTCCAAAACCAGGGCTGCTCCTAGGGTTCTGGGAATGCCAGTATCAGGCTGTATTACAGGGGAAGGACTGAGGGATTGGTCAGTGCATGGGGACACATGACAGCCAGAGGCCCTATTTGCATGGCAGGCAAGAGCACACATTACCAGGCTGCAGGATCTGTGCTTTCCCACAGCAGCCATCGCAGGCAGCCCCTTGTCCTGCATCCTCTGCTTTACCAGGCACTGAAAGAGCTGTGCAAGAGCAAGAGAGAGGCACCATGACAGGGAATGGTACTGGGGGACATCCCCTCCTCTGCCTGTGAAACTGGAGAGCTGAGTTTCAGTAGGATGGTTTCATTCATTAGACAGTCTGAACTGTTTTCTGTCTGCTCATAGCCGGACACTGATGCTTGGCCAGACAGTGCTGTCTCCAATTTGTCCCTGGCACACCTCTCTCATAAATCTAATTCTCTTGGCAAATGAAGAGCAATACACTCCTGCTAACAGAGGTAACCAGGTAAAGTACTTTGCAGGGACATACAAGTGAATGAATTCCCCCAAACGATGATGGTTATACGCACTGGCCCACACTCACGTATAATAGAGTTTTACTCATGTTCAGAGACAATGTCCAGTAGTAAAATGCTTTCATGTCTGTGGCATAAATTCTTCTAGTGGGAACATGTCAGTCACAGTCAGACAGCTTTGCTGGCTTCTGCAGGATTGGCTCTAGAACTTTCCCAACTGGGAGTGAATAGAGATCAATTTAAACGTGTCACAGCTTGGATGGTTGTACTGTTCCTGCAGTAGGTAGTAGGCTGCAGATGGTAGGAAGGCTCTAAAGAGGGATCTGGACAGGATGGATCAAAGGGCTGAGGCCAGTTGAATGAGGTTCAACCTGCTTCAGTGCTGGGTCCTGCACTTGGGTCACAACAATCCCATGCAACTCTCCAGTCTTGGAGATGAATGCCTGGAAAGCTGCTCATGAAAAAGGGTCTGGGGGTGTTGATTAACAGCAGCTGAATACCAGCCAGAAGTGCGCCCAGGGGCCAGGAAGGCCAAGAGCATCCTGGCTTGTGTCAGCAATAGTGTGTGCAGCAGGACCAGAGCAGTGATCATCCCCTGTACTGGACAGGTGGTCCGCACCTCGAATCCTGTGTTCAGTTCTGGTCCCCCTCACTACAAGAGAGACATTGAGGTGCTGGAGCAGGGCCAGAGAAGGGCAGCAGAGCTGGTGCAGGGCCCGGAGCACAGGTGTGATGGGGAACGGCTGAGGGACCTGGGGGGTTCAGTCTGGAGAAGAGAAGGCTCAGGGGGACCTTACCACTTTCTACAACTGCCTGACAGGAGGTTGTAGCGAGGTGGGGGTCAGTCTTTTCTCCCAAGTAACAAGTGATAGGACAATATGCAACAGCCTCATCTTGCATCAGAGGAGATTTAGACTGGATTCTATGATTTTATGCCCTTGCATTGTTGCAGGAGGGCAATAACACAACATAACATTGTTCACCACCACTTCCAAGGAGCAGAGTGTAATCCCTGCTACAAATCACTGCTTACCACTGGGGTAGGAGGAGAAGGAACCATCCGCTGCTGGGAAATAAATGGCTATTATTTTCTGATCCATTTACATCTGGAGATTTCTTAAACGGTGTAGATTTAATTCTGC